AACAGATCAGCTGCAGTTCCTAAATTATAGCATGCACTAAGGCCAAGTGAGCTCAGAATTGCTCTTAACACTGCTGGTGCTTCAACCTTTCGCTCTGTTATTGTAGAGTTTCCTTGCTACTATAAAGCGGGACTCCATCCTAGTCCAAGTGGCTCCCGTGGGAGTTTATAGTATGTGTGCGCAAGCCGTTCTCCATCCTCACTGAGCTTGAACGTGCTCTGAGCCTCAGCTGAACGTATCCATTCCAGCACATTAAGTCAGAGGGCTCTTCCTACTTGGAGCATCATCACCCCAAATATAGATTTATTCACAGTGTGACACTGATTCCCACACCCTCAACAGGAGCAGCAGCTGCAACGTGAACGCGGTTTTAGCTTTGCCGCTTAGGAAAAGAAGCCTTATGTAATGGTGCCGTCTGCTGGTCCATCTGCCTGTCTGCTCCTTACTTCCCACCCTCTCCCCCAAATGTCTTTGGGCCCTGTTGTCCAATTTCAGCCACACTTGACAGTGAGCTGGACTTCTCAGCAGTGTTACTTGCCTACAGATTTCATGAGAATTGGCAACTGGGTAGAGAAGCAATGTCCTAATCAGTGCCCAGCAATGGAAAGAGATGCAGAGATGCTTATAAATCCTCAGCCTGTGAGCCAGTAAACTTGTGCGCACACGGCTACAAGCCCAACACCAGACCTGGAGAAGGATGTTGGGAATGTGGCAGGAAGTGAGAAGTACCAGGAAGAAAAAGGGCAGACGAGCGAATTCAGGGGATGCAGGGCAGAGTCCGTAGCGCTTGGTGATCCCAGCAGGTAGGGATCCACTCGTTACCTTTGCAACCTAAGTCAGTGCAAAAGGGCAGGGGATGATACTTGGAAGTGCAATGGATGATGCAGAAAAAAGTGCAGCCACACCAGACCTTTTGGAGACAGCACTGGCATGGGGAGGCCTGGAGCTGGAGAGATTGGGCTGGAGAGGACAATGTGCCACTTTGCTGCCACCCCTGCAGTCACCCCATGCTGCTGGAGCTGGTTCTGCTGAAGCTGAAGGAGCACAGCTCAGTACTGTGCTCCAAGCTATCCAAGCGAAACACCTAGGAGCAACCCTTTCCAAGGGAGAACCTTTCCTAGGAGTCCCAACCTCAAACATTTGACAATTTAAAGCCCTCAAGGCTTTGTTGTGCTCTCGCATGGGTTTAGTCATGGTGAGGCTCCCCAGCTCACCAGGAGTGTGGGAGCGAGCTGAGCAGAAAGGCTGCCCTCCTGCCCCTTGGCTTCACAGAAACTGTTCACTCTGCAAATAAACCCCTCTCATTTAGAGACATCTTCTCATTTAGAGACAAAAATGTACTGGGGATTCAGATGGAAATAGCCCTTGTCATGGCTGTGTCACACAGGATGTGTCTTTGGGAACCTTTAGAAATTTGCTGGATGTGTCTTTGGAAACCCACCAAAGGCTAGATACAGGATAGCCTGCTTTGCAAAGAGCGTCTCTTTGACATTTTTTCCTTATCAAATACAGCTATGTATAGCTAGATCACAACAATGTGGTCACATCATCCCAGAGTACCATAAATCAGTAGCTATAATTGACAGCAGCATTAGTGCTCCTTGCCTTTCCCATGCAAAAAAAAAAAAACATTTCTTCTAATCTTAGGTACTTACCTTTAGCCAGGGGCAGAATCCGTCTGGCTGTCAGCTTTGCACTATTTCCTCTAGCTTGTCCATGACACTCCTATGTCCTCCTGGTTCCCCTTCCTTCCTGTCATTCATCCAAACTGACATCCTCTTGCTCACTAATGGTTTTGTTCAGAGCTATGCTCTGCTGCACTGTAAACTAGGAAGCAGTAAAACAGGAGAGGGAAAAGGCAGTGGGTATGGATTGATACATGCCATCGTTTTGGATGCTGTGTCCCTGGCTTTACTCATCTGTATCTTCCCCAATAAGGCAGATGAGACCTCTGTTCTCTGGATAACTGCTTTGAGATATCGCTGGCCATAACATGTGTGCCCTGAGCATTGCTCTGCTGGCTGCAGCCCTGGCTTTGCAGCATGATGGACAGGGGTGATACAGGCCACAAGGAGCCAAGGACTTCATGCCCCATGCAGGCTGAAACCCCAGTGCCCGGGAGCTAGCATGTGCTTTGGAAAAGGGACTTCTGGCGAGCCCAGCTTACACAGGCTCATAATGCAGCCTGTAAAATGAGGGAATTGAATGAAAAATTATGGGATTGTCAAAAATAATCAGTGAACGAGTCTTTTCAAAGGCTTTCCTGCTTCTCAGCCTCATCAGGTCACATTCTTATGTTTATTTTGCTGCACCAAGGGGAGAACTGAAGCATACCTAGAAAATGACAGCAGACTTCTGATGCAATCACTCCACTCCAGGACTTGTGGATTTAAAAAATAATGCATGATAAAGTGGTGAGCCCCTGGTGCTGCTGACATTGTAGTTATGGTAGGAAATGCATCTCCACCTGGATACTCTTCTTGGGGTGCACAACGTGCAGCAGGGCAGCATGGTGCCATTGCATTCATTTCCATGTGCAACAAGAAGCAGATGCAGGATCACAAGGAGTCTGAGCTTTCTGCCCTCCTTTCCGAGGAAGAGACAAGGGAAGTTGATATTTAGGAACAGTTTTACTTACTTAAGGGAAACGTACCCCCATGTTTGTGGTTCTGGCTGCAGAAGCAATCTCTGCGCGGAGGGAGCTGGTACAATGGACAGGCTCTTGCAGCTGGAGCTCAGGCTCCTCACCAGCTTGCAGAGGGATTTGGAGCCTCTTGCCTCAAAAGACACGTGCCACCCATGTTCCACCAACCAACCAGCACTGGCTTTAGGCAAACTGAGCACAGCAGCCTGCTCTGATGAGCTACTCACATTTATCCATGTGTGCAAACCTAACTAGCACCCAGCTTAAGCTAGTGGAAGTCCATGCAGCCACACCATTACCTGCCTGGCAGCATCACGGGGAGATGTGCATGGTGGCAGTGGAGTAAAATAAGATTTAGCAGGGTATGTGGCTGTCTGTGGGGCCCTGGGATGAGTGTTTATGAATATACCATGCACTTTCTGCTGCTATAATTCAAGCTACACGTGAGCTTGGATGTGAGAAGTCAACAGTGAGTCACAGCCTGTGACTTTTTGCTGTAGTGGAAGTCGGCAGACTGCTGTGAGTCTGTTACTGATAGTGCTTACTTCAGCCCTCAGTAATAGTAGCAAATCTGTCATAAATCACAGTGCCACGTGGCACAACGGGTGCTACCTGCTTCATCTGGTCGTGCTGCTGTTCACTCCTGCCTCCAGCTCCCTGTGTGCACGTGTCTGAGCATCTGGGAGTTGTCAAAATGCTGGTGGGGGGTGAGGTCAAATCTGTTAAACCACTGAGACCTGCAGGAGATCATAGTAGGAAAAAAGCACAGCTGTGTTTCTACCATTCTCACCAGTGACATCTCTGCACCATCTCTTAATGCTCTGGGAGATTCAGGGGGACAGGTGAGGGGGCAGCTGAGGATGCACTCAGCAATGAGTTCCCATCTGTGCAAACTCCTTGACCTTGGATATTCAATGTGTGTGGATGGCTGAGACTCAACCAAATTAGTGTGAAGTGTCAGTCTCAGGAGAGCAACCAGAAAGGAAGAGGTGACAGACGATATCTGGACCTGCCACTTGCCAGATGGGCTCATGATGGTCCCTCAGTCTCTGCATGGCACCTGAGGCTTTGTCCTGGTGTCTAAGCCCTGCCACTGGGCCAATGTTTGTTCCTTTCCTTTGGGACACAGAGAACATCATATCTTGACCCTTGCTTCGACTGACCATCATTTTCCAACCCAAGTTTGGCTCCAGGTCAGTTTATTGAGGAATATGTTTCAGCTCCACTTGACTCAAGGCACTGGCTGGGGTCATCTGTTGGTTCTCCTGCCTTGATTCAGTCTATTTTGGACTCTTGTAAAAGTGCTAAGGGAACTGATGGGAGGAAGCTCAGTTTCCTAGACTCCCTGCAAGGGAGAGCAGGGCTGTGGTGTCAGGAAGGGGGATTATCCTCATATTTAATTGTAAGAGTGCTGACAGTGCTGATGCCTTGAAAGAGCTGCTCAAGTATTCTCCTTGTCAGCTCCGAAAGCTTCTGGCTCTTGTTTCTTGTCAGATTTTCCCACTGTGGACAGGGGTTTCAGACTGACAGCGTGTTCCACGGCAGTGACGGTGTGCAAGTTGCTGCCAAGTGAGAAGCTCTGTGAGCTGCTGTCACGGGGCCTTGGCAGGGCTCGCAAAATGCCCTGCTCTTCAGTTAAAAAGGGAAAGAAGAAAATAATTTTGAGGCATGCTGCTTCAGATATTCCCAGTTCCAGCTTCTGGAAGATGCTTGCCCCTCCTCTAGGTACCTGTAGGCTCCTTCGCTGCAGGCACACACACCAGGGTGGATCCAGGAACAGGGCAGCTATATATATTTTGTTAGCACTTGCCAAGTTGCCCTCTCTTGAGATGGCTTTCCGGATATAGAATTGCTTCCAGCTTGGTCGTTCATGAGATTCCGATTGCACTCATGCACTTCCTTTCTTCTGGTGCCCCTGTAGGATCCGGGAATGCCCTGTTGAATCAAAATATTGTCTCTGGCACCAGCCAAGCATCAGACAGCAAGAGACTTGTGTTTGCTGCTGGAAACAAGCTACGCTAAGGGAAAGCATCTCTGAAGCTGTGCGCTTCTCTGTCTTGCATAACACCAGAAATAGCTTGATTGCTCAATTTTGTTTTCAGCCGGGAAGGAGGAGAGAGTGTTTGTGTGTAGTGCCAGGATAAGAGCTTGTCATTAAACTTATCTATAGCCGACTTTCCTTTTTTTGTCCTGGCTGCTTGGAGCATTTAGGAGTTTTAGGGGGAATAGGCACTAGCTGAGTCATGTCCTAAGTGGACTTTCACCTAAGCTCCTTCTGAGCTTGCTCCCTACTCGTTCAGCCTAGTGTTGCCCCAAATAAGGACATAGAGATTTAACCTAAGAAATAACATTTGTTCTGGTTTCTTTGCTCCCCTTACTGCTACTGGCTTCCACTATTTTGCAGAAGACAAGGAGATGCCATCAAACTTTTCTTCCTTCTTGGCTTTCTCAACACGGTCTTAAGCCAGCCATGAATATCTTTCAAGGAGTCTTGTGGAGATTCAAAGCACAGTTTGCCTGGCATCACTTTATCTCCCATTTTCTACCCAGGCTGGGCCACATCTGAGTTTCCACCAGATGCATCAAGGACGGTGGGGTTGCCATTCCTGTCCTGAGCACCAGGTTATGCAGGGACTCGCATGAACCCTGTGTGGTTCAGAGCAGAGACTCTTTGTGCCACATGCCCCTATTTTTAGAGGCAAGTTGATGCCCAGGCTTGTTTTTCAGCTCAATGGTAGGGATGCTGTCTGTGTTGTGGGCAGCTCACCCTGTCCCACCTCCCTGCAGCCCATGATTGCAAAATGATTTGTGGTGGGAAGGTGACATTTTCTAGCCACAAGCCTGAGCACTGATGTTGCTGAACTTTTCCCTGGGGCTCTGCTGTCTGTAATCAAAAATTAATATGGAAAGCGTGCTGGTGCTCCCTCTCCAGAGGGAGCGTTTGGAGACATTCCTGAGCAGTTCCTCCGCTTCCCACTTCCACTGAGCAGCTCTTGAGGTTGCAGGAGGGCTTCTCCTTGGCTCTTCAAGCTCTGCCTGTTATGTGCCCTGGGGCTGGTTGAGCCCAGGGCTCCTTGCACGTCTTCTCTGAGAGCGAGTTTCTGAGTATTCCCATCTCTTTCTTCTCCTCTCAGGTGATGAAGCTGAGGAAGTTGGCCCAGCAAGTTGCCAACTGCCGGCAGTGTCTGGAGCGCTCCACAGTCCTCATAAATCAGGCCGAGCATATCCTGAAGGAGAATGACCATGCGCGATTCCTGCAGACGGCCAGGAATGTGGCTGAGAGGTAGGCTCACGACGCAGCACCAGTTTCATTTTGGTTGGCATCTAGGAAATTGGTGACAGAATCTCTTGGCCCAGCCCTAAGGACTTGTCCTCCGTGTACGGCACCCCGTCCTTTGGGTCATTCCCAAGCGTGGAGCCTCTAAGCTCGCTGGGAATGTGTCTCAGCACCGTGCCACCCTCTTGGGGAAGGAAATTCCCCTAATACCCTACCCAACCCCACAGCACAGCTTGGGGCATTACCTTTCAGTCTAATGCCTGCCACCACCCAGCATCATTTGATTCTGCCACCTTCATCCTGGTCCGTCAAGTAGCTGTCACTGCTGCCAGTTCCCCTTTCACATCCTCTCTGCACACCCTTGTATGGATCTGTGCTCCCAGCTCCTACCGATTTTGGCAGCCTCTGACAAACCTGTATATTGATGGTCCCTCTTTTTTTTTTGCCTTGCAGGGTCGCCATGGCAACTGCATCCTCGCAAGTTCTGATACCCGATATCAATTTTAATGATGCCTTTGAAAACTTTGCGTTAGATTTTTCCAGAGAGAAGAAGCTGCTGGAGGGGCTGGATTACCTAACGGGTATGTGCGCAGGCTGGCTCCCTGCCACGGGCACTGGCAGCATCCTTCCCTGCACGTTGCTGAGGGTGGGGAGGGTGTTTGGAAGCAAACAGCCTTGCCAGTCACTCTCCCCTGTTAAACTTTTGCCCATAGATGATCTAGCCCTCTTAGGGGTGCACAGCATCTTTATTGCCCTCTGTGGGAAAAGAGGACTTTTCCTGGAGTAAGACAGAAAATTTCAGGAAGCAGGTCAGAAATTAGGAGTAGACTTAACACCAGTAACGACAAGGAAGGGCTCTTCTTGCACTCATATATACCTGGCCCAAGCAGTGATGCGTTGGCAGGAGCAGCACTGCCGCCCAGCTTGTTTATGCTGCTGTCTGCTGTAAAATCAAAGGCAGGAATACAAGCTCTGAGGAAACTAGGGCACCATTACTTACATAAACCTGATTTTCTTCATGTTTACGTGGATAAGCTTACAATGAATGAAAAATGAAAAAAAGAATGACAGCTCTGTCCGGAGCATTTCTTGGACAAAATACTGCTTGTATATGAAAAGCCTTATTAAAATGTGTGACTTGTGATCTCCTGCAGCACCTAACCCTCCGTCCGTGCGCGAAGAGCTTTGCACCGCCTCCCATGATACAATTACGGTTCACTGGATATCGGAGGATGAGTTCAGTGTCAGCTCCTATGAGCTCCAGTACACCATCTTCACTGGCCAAGCCAACTTCATCAGTAAGTCTTTGCTCAACGGCTCTCTGTGGGGAACCATGGTCTGATTTGGGAAGAAAGAGGTCCTTGAGGAAGTGTCTTGCAGCATCTGTGGCCCACTGGCATGAAGATGGAGGGTACCAGACAGGGAGATGTGTTCACCACCATGGTCTTACTGCTGTGGTCCCTGGCAGCAATAACATCCCCTGGGATCTTCTCTTCTTCAAGGGTTCACTAGCACCCTTGGCCTCTCCTTGTCCCTCAGTGCTTCAGCCCCAGCCAGCTTGGGGACCTCCATGGGGTTCACTTCACTGTCCATTCCTGTCTGGGACTGGAGAGCTTGTAGATGGATCCAGTGCTGAGATATGGTGTCTCCTGTGTTGTGATGAAGAGAGAAATCCCTTCCCTCAGCCCACTGGCTAACGAAGCCCAGTGTATAGGGCACGGTTTTCAATCCTGGATGGGACTTGGGGGAGGAAACCGTAAGAAAGGTCCTCCGAGGATACCTCTGAAGGCTCTAATCTAAATGATGGAGGAGGCAAGAGGTGCTCTGAAGCACAGTTTGTTAACCCTGTGCTGGAGGTCCATAATCAAATTGTTTCACACCACATTCAGCATCTGGCTATCATCATCTCAGTGAAGCATCTGTCACATTAGAGGATCTCGTCTGGCTTGTAGTTGATCATGGAGGAAACTACCCAAATGTGTGACTTGCAACCCATTCACATTGCTCCCAGGGGTCATACAGATAGATCAGAGCTGGCTGCTCTGCAGGCTGTGGGCTAAAAAGGAAGTATGATTTATTTGTCCTTCATAGCAATAGCGGTATTAGGAAAAGTCTCCAGGTACTTCTTCCTGAAAATCTGCCTTGCCTAATTATTCTTCCACACCAGCACAAATTTGCTTGCCAGAAACAGGATTAGAGGAATGATGAGAGCTCTCGCTGAGTCGTATGTGTTAGTACCTAATGATTTAGGAAGTGCTGTGGTCAAAGAGGAAGGAATTAACTGCTGAGGTTGCAGCATCCATCTTCTCATTATGGGGTGTTATGGGACCTGTCTTGGTCAGCATACTTTCTTTCCAGGTTTACTCCATGTTATGCAACAGGACAGCTTTAAAAGAGCTTGGTAAGGCTGAACCAGCCCCCACCCAGCCATGAAATCAAGACAGCAATGTCTCAGATGCAAATTCCATCCTGGATATTTTCTATAAGATGGAAATAGAGTAGTTGACGTCATTGTCCATCCAGGCAGGACATTTTCAGCCTCAATGGGTCTGTCCCACCCAACACTTCTGATACATTTTTGTGCTTTTGACACAGAGCAGAGGTGCCCTTTGCAGGACCTAGACATGTGTTGTCACAGGCACTATTTCCTGGAGCAATTATTTCTAAAAAGGAACTATTTCCTTTTTAGTATGAGGAATATTTTAACAGTGCGTTTAACAGCTTGTTCCACAGTCTTCAAAGGGAGGTGCTCTGATCCAGAGACTTTCCCACAATTTACGGTTGGTTATTTGCAAGGCCCCCTCCAGAGGCATGACGCGTGTTCAAACAGAGCAGGCAGGAGAAAGAAAACGTGTGATTATAACGACTTTAGAGAGACACACTCTTCCCTAATCCTGATGTCTGAGTTGGATGGATAATAGCAGGAATAAAGGGCAGACAGAGAAGGGGGGAAAAAAAAAAAGGAAGTGCAGGAGAAAACTGCTCTGGGAGTGTCATTTTGTCTTGTGATTGTAAAGCTCAGAAGCTAGCAGCAAGGGTTGTCCTCATCCCTTAGCATAGGGAAGAGGCTGGAACTGGGAAACATCTGGCTGTGGTCACGATTCTGGTCCAGATCCAAAGGAGAAATCCTTGGAGAAATGACCTAGGGGAGTCTCAGGCACTCATCCTTGAGCCCAGCCATGCTGGAGCTGCCAGGCCGTGTATCCTACATGGACAGAGCTGGCAGAGGCCACTGGATCTGCCCTTTGGGGTCCTCACCTTACCACTGCTCATCATCCTCACCTTATTGCTGCTCATGAGCTTCACCTTGGTCTGGAGCAGAAGAGTCCGTGCCCCACAGCAAAGAGGAACCAGGAATATTTCAGGCAGCTGCTCTCAGCACTGCACCATGCTGGGCCAAACGCGATCTGACAGCACGGAACAGCGTCAGGCAAAGCAAATCTGAGCTGTTCAAATCCATGTGGAGCCACTCTGATGTTTAAAGCAGTTTTAGCTACCCTTTCAAAGTAGTGCCCCTGACAGTAGGGATGGAGTTTTGCTCTAATATTAGCTAGGCAGAATTCAGCAGACATCGTGAATCTGCTGAAGGCTTGCAGATAAAACAGGCCCAAAATGGCCTGGGGATTCAAACTTTGCAAATATGCCAAATGTCTGTTTAATTTTCTCCCCCCTCCCCCCAAAATGATCAAAACAGACCAAGGCTGTGATCTTTTTAACACCATAGATTATCGTTCGGGACAGCTGGTAAGCGGCAGGTCGCAAAAGCTGAGGCTCAAACCTGTGACTTCCCCCGAGGACAGAGGTGTCACATCTGCAGCTGCTATTTACTTTTTTTTCGTTCTTCACCGTCATGAGGGCTTATTTCGAAAAGAAAAAGCTGACCTGATTGTAGTCACGGAAAAGAACTCTTCCGATTTCCGCAGAGGTGCAGTTAATATGGGAAAAGCATTTCACTCATAGTGCTAAGGGCTATTTACAAGACTCAGAAGCAGTAATTTATTTTGTTAGGTTCCCAGTGAATCCCCCAGGTGTCAAAAATATGTATTTTTATCAGTTTTTGTGACAGTATTTTTTTCTCCAAATTTGAGGGTTTTTTGCATACTAAAAAAAAGTGCATCAGCTCCAAGAGAAACTTCATATTTCAGTATGATGAAAAAACATGAACATTTTAACAGAAGAACTAAAATGTATCTTCCAGCTTGTCTGTTTTGAAGTTAGGCTTCAAAAAAAAAAAGCATGGCATTGTGACAATGTGACTCTTGCAATAAAGTTTTAGCCCTGATTTTAATTAAGAGCAGTTACTGCTGTAGGAAATGCCAACAAAATGCTTTGGAATAGGCTTTTGGGGACTCTATTAACTTATCTTAATTATCAGTAGAACATCATTGCTGGAAATGCAGTGTCACAGCCCAGGGAAATTGTTAAGTGCACCTTAAAATATGCAGGAAGCTACCAGAAATAATTTCTGTTTGAGCCGTAGACTTTCAAATCTGATGCATCCCCAACCTTCTCTAGAAGCCTTTGCTTTGTTTTATATATATTTACATTTAAAAAAAAAACTCGTAATGACTTATTTCCTTTTGGTCAGAGATTTATTGTGGTTACCTAGTCCTTCCCTATCTAGGATTTCCCATACTCAGCTCTTCTGGGCTTTCCTCAGCCACAAAATGTTGCCTTCAGCATTGCCTTGGTCCCTCAGAGCATGGGAGAGCTCAGCTACTGTTTTGGCTCTGTTCTTAAGTGGTCATCAGTCTTCACCTCTGGCGCTGGTAGTTAAGAAAAAAATCCCTGGAATCACTGAATTATTTGTGTGAGAAGGGATATCTGAAGGTACCTGACCCAAGAGCTCAGAGCTGGACCAGATTACTCTGGTTTTTGTTCAGTTGCATGAGCAAGTGGAGCGACTGATGCTTCAGAGATATTGGTAATCAGTCACCTACACAGACTTTTGGGGTCTGTATGGACTTTGGTGGGAGCATTAAGAAGGTGAGGGATGTGCAGATACTGGTGATGAGAAAAAAAGAGTGGAGAGCCAGCTCTGAAAGAACAAACTAACATCAGAAGTGTTTTCTTGACCATCTTTGTTAGGGATCATCTCCCTCATAGAGGGAGCAAAGAAAGCAGCATTTAACATATCAGAAGAAGGAATTAATAATATTTTGTCACTTGAAATAGCACATTCAGAACTGGTTGATGGGACCATGCAAATCCTGGCTGAATTCACACGTGAGGAGACACTGAAAGTAGTGGAATGGTTTGCATTAGAGCTATAAAAACAGGTAGCCTCCAGGGAAAAGGGGCTCTGTGCTAGGGCTCACCTGGCAGGAACACAACGAGAAGCCTTCCCATTAAAGGAAATACCTTTCCAAAGAGCACACAGTTGGCCTGTAGAAACCATCCCCTCACACTGTCCTTAAAGCCAAGAGCACAGCAGGAGACAAGCATTTCATAGAATCATAGAATCATAGAATGCTTAGGGTTGGAAGGGACCTCTAGAGATCATCTAGTCCAACCCCCCTGCAGGCTGAGTCACTCCATGGCTATTGTTACCCAGCCACTTTGTCCCAAGGCTGCGTTGTATGCAATGAGATAACATCTACCAGTGCTTGTCTGAAGGGCATATGCTCCAAGGCAGGCAGCTCTGTACTGTACAGAGAATACAATTGGCATCATATCTGCTTTATGTTTTACTTAAAATAAGATTGCCTTGATCCCCTGGGCCATTGCAGCCTATATTTTGAACTAAATCTATGCGAACCGTGACTGTAACCAGCCCTTTTTGTAGGACTGAGTAAGCCACCAGGGATAAACAAATCCCAGCCAGTGTCTCTTCATGGGCACAAGATCCCACAGAGCAGAGGAGCAGCACAGAGGAGCTCAGGAAATTCTTTCTGACAGATCCACATTCTCATTTCAATACTGTTTGCAGTGCGTGCAGGATCCTGCAGCTTCAGTAGGACAAAGCTCAGCTGCATGAAGGTCTAGTGTGTTGCAGGTCTTTGAGCTCCTAGTTCCTTTCCGTTTCCAAAAAAAAAAAAAAAAATTAGGCTCCTGAAAGTTTTCTGAGCACCCGACTGCAGCTGCTTTGACTGGAACGACAGTTCTCTTTGAACCCCTTTGCACACCAGGCTGCTAAGGGACATGACGTGTCAATGTCCCATGGACATTCATTGTTGCTTCCAACCCAGGAGCCATGTAGGATGTGGTCTGTCAGGTCCTGCTCTTCTCCCAAGATTAATGGCAGGAGTTGCCTAGTTTCTTAGCAGCAGCACTTTAAATCATTAGTGAAGAATGAGAGCTGCCAGCCGGGCACATGTTTACCTGCTCAGTGAGGTTTCATCAGTGCTTTGCTGAGCTCAGCTTCCCTCACCTTCTCCTCAGTGCCATCTGCTCCCAGCACCAGCTCCTTGCTAGCCCTGGCCAGAAGGTCTCCATTTGAAATCCTGTTTCTCTGCACCCTTTCCTCATTGCAGCAGCACCTCACCCCTGCCTTTGCCTTATCAAGCATTGCTTTCGTGTGCTGATAAAAAAGGCATCTCTGAGCTGCTGGGTTTTATCATTTATGTAAATTTTCCTGACGGTTCTCTTAACTCTCAGGCAGGTGGTAAATCAACCTAAAGGATGCATGAGCCATGAGCTCTACATTAGCAGTTGTTTGTGCTCTCTCCTTCCCTCTGAGTGTTATCTGTTAATAAATCTCCCCCCGCTGACTCTCCTGTTGCACAGGTCTCTACAACTCCATGGACAGCTGGATGATCGTTCCCAACATCAAACAGAACCACTACACAGTCCACGGGCTCCAGAGCGGCACCCGCTACATCTTCCTCGTAAAGGCCATCAACCAAGCCGGCAGCCGGAACAGCGAGCCCGCCAGGCTCAAGACCAACAGTGCGTGCCCGGGTGTTCGCAGCGCGTTGCATTGGGTGGGATGTGGAGGAGCAGCCGTTTCTTGCATGCTGGTTTCTTGTGGAGTTATTGTAGCGCTGATTTATTTAAAGGTGCCCATCTCTTGCTTCTCTCAGCTTCTTCCCTGGCTTATCCATAGGAGGTGTCCTCAAGGGCCAAGAGGCATTTGGGAGGTATCCGCACTGTAATGGATGGAGCTTGGCCCGTGTTGACAAAGCAGGACGCGATTCACACTTCAGCTTGCCCCCAGGGAAGACAAAGAATGGTTAAAGACATCTAGGAAAATCAGAGCAGAATTCAATCAAAATCTAATTAGCTTCAAAAGGCAGAACTGGATCCATCGGACAAGGGGTTATGACAAGGGCTGGGCTCCTACCTTTGCAGTAGCCAAGCCCCAACCCCCCTGGGGCCAGTTATCTCCTTTTGCTTGCTGGGACATAATAGCAGGGTCAGCATGAAACAGCCCAAGTTGTGAGTGGCTCTTCTAGCTTTTGTGTAACACTGCCTTCTCCATGGCCGCATCTCTCTCATGATGGTTATAAAATGCCTCTGCCTGGTCCTGATGAGCACAGTGTGCCTTTGTGTCTCCTTCCTTGATGTTTCAATCGCATCTGCGTTCTGCACTTGAGGCTTGGGAAGTGATTTATTGCCACTGCCACCTCCTTTTCTTCGCAGGACCCATGCACCCCGCTCTCATTTATGAAATACAATTAACCAAAGTCAGGGCATCAGCAAGGATGGAGGGGAGCTGATTAAAAGCAAATTCCCATCAGCTTCCTCCCTGCTCATTGAAAATGTATCCCTCCTTGAGCTGCTGTCTTTGAGCACTTTTTCCAGCTTTGAGAGCTCATTCTGAGAGTGAGAAATTGGTGACTTGACAAGCCAAGAGCGATGAGATGACAAAACAGAGCGGAAGGGAGTGAAAGAGGTTTGTTTCAGTGGCTCCCTCAAGACCGGGCATGCTCTTTTTTTTTTTTTCTTTAATATTATTCAGTGTCAGTCATCAGAGGTACTAGCAGGGAGCTAAGTGCTCTGCTTCAGAGATGAACTTGATTTAGTAGATTAAATAAGTGCCCGATCAGATTTTGAATTCCCCTCATTCAGTGGAGGTGTCTGCAGTAGCTCACTGCATTTTTGAAGATACAGAGCAAGAATTGCCCAGAGCGCTACATAAAATGCACTGCCATAGTTCTGTGTGTGCCAAAAGGAACTTCTTTCACAGAGCTGAATGACCACTGCAACAACCATTGTGTCTCCAGCTCAGTAAACGGGAGAGAAAGGAACGCAGCATTAATGTGCATGCATTCCTCTCTGTTGATGTTGCGGCGTTTATCTGCAGCCAACGTCATCATTCATCTTGTCTTTAGACTTCCTGTGTCACCGTCTGTTTTCATGTGCTCAAAGCTTGAACTTTTTTTGGACCAGTGATTTGCAATTTGGCAGTAAAGATGGACTCGGGCTGAGAAAAGTGTTCACTATCACTGCTGTGAATAGTTGTCCAAATTTGCCTGAGTTTATGAGCCTCTGAATGATTACCAGTTGCTTGTGCTCAATGGGAGCTTCTCCGGGGTCATGCAGAATCCTGGCTATGATTAAACATGCTTGGTGCCCTCACAGCCTTTAGTATTGATACTGTTCCCACCAGCCTCAGCAACCTCATGAGCTGTTTCCACCAGCTCCATGAACCTCGTGATGTTCCTACCAGACTCAGTGGAGGCGAGGGCAAATTTGCCACGGGGTCTTTCTGTGGCCCACAGAAGTTACTTCAGTAATGATTTCTATGTGGTGGGGAACATTGAGGATGGGGTCTTCCCTTTCCGCATGCTGAACTTGAGATGCTCAGCGTGCTATGCAATACTGAGTGTCCTCACAAGTCAATCACCCAAAATTGGTGGAGATATTTTAATTCCTTTAAATTGCAGCTGATTATGTGCAGGTGTTGTTATGATTATAACAACAGGGCACTATGAAGATTTATCATCCAATACTAGGGTGACCCTACAGTTATGGGAACTGTAGGAACTACTATGAGGAGGTGAACAGCGGTTCCTTGACCAGGGATTCAGTTCAGAGCAATGAATAAGACACATGGGTAAAGTAAAATTCTGCCCAAAAACACACTGTCTGAGTGATATCCAGGCTCTGTAGTGAAGGCAATAAGCTCCCTATGGAAAAATAGTTTGTCCTCACATAATTAATGAGAGTCGCAATGTTGTAAGATGTGTAATAATGTAAAGGGGGGTGTTCAGGAAAGGATATTTTCGGGAACTTCTGAATTTCTAAGCATTCGAGGACTCCTCAGGGGGTTGACTGCTCATCATGGACTCACACGTGCTGCTGGGTGGAACATCCTGGGCTGAGCTTACAGCACATCCTTATTTGCTGTTTCTTCCTTGCCTGTATTTGTCATTCTGTGGCAAAATGCTTTCCTCATTTTCAAGGTGGTCACCTAGGAGAGGGTGCACGCTTTTGTGTTGGCCCTAAAACTATGTTCCCAAACTGCTTAAATAGATGAGCTTGGGAAAAAAAAATAAATATAGGTGGATTTATTGTTCTTCTGCAGGTTGGCAACTCCGTTACAGTCTTGTAGCTTTGCTTCCTCAAGGTGACAGCAACTAGGAGGACACTGTTTTCAAGACCACAACACATAGCATCCTGGGCACTGTTGCCTATAACTAGTTTGCTTCTGTTTGTAGAGCAGTTGATTAAGGGCCCACAGACCAGGTTTAGAGTTCAGCTGGAGGGTCACAGGCTTCATTAGACAAGTTTTGTGCCTGGATTCTTCAGAATATCGAGATCTGGTGGCATCTCAGAGGGCTGGCTAGAGCAGGGACATTGCTGGCTCCACTCCTCAGCAAGCAGAGAAGAAGAATGAAGGAAAGAAGAGATGGCAGGATACTACTCTGGTTTGGTTTGCTCTTCCACTGGGTGGACCTCTGCAGAGAGCAGAGAGATCATTTCTTGAGAGCAGGACTGTGTATCCTCTCCTAGACGTTGTCTGAAAGCCAGTTTTTTTCCAGGCCACAGTGCCCTCCAAGTTTCAGCCCCAGAGTCACATAGGAGTTTGGGGAGATACAGGACATTTGAGGATGTGAGTGGCCTGTCTCGGCCGAAAAAGCACAGGGACATTTCAGAGCAGATTGAGCAATTCTTTCATTTCCATTTGTTTTCCCTTGCTTACGAAAAGCTTGATGCTTTCCTTCCCTATGACTCCCAATTTGGGCTACTCTCGGTTGCACTTGGGGTGCCTTTTCTGATGGCGTGAAATATTTTTATACCTCCCCGTCTTGGAGTTTGTCTCTCTGCATTACTGACAGAAAAGCAGAGATACAGAAATATTAAAATAACTAGGGAGGGAGGAGAGGGGGTCACTCCCAATTTACAGCCTTACCTTCAGGCTTCTCAACTCAATTATCTGGCAAATGGTGCTCCGCAAAATAAATGCAAGCTGCCATCAGGTACTGGAGCGCACCATGAGTGAGTGCCATTACAGGGTCATACTTGTATGCTCCGCAGTGCCTAGGCTGATGTTGCCGTCATTTTGCAGCAGTTCCTCATCCTGGTACTCCAACTCACCTGCTGAATGCTGTTGATCAGGGGCATT